GCTGAGCTAAATCCCCAGCCCCTTTCTCACTTTTTTGACATACAGTTGGACAGAGTTTAGAGATTGTTCTTTGCCCCTGGAGGGGCCTGCTTCATTTTCCAAATAGAAGGGTGAACATCTTGGGCCAGGTTTGCCCTCCGAGATTGGCCACAGTGTCCTCCTTACACCGTCCTGTCCCACACAGTGCCACCTTCGCCTCCGGTCACAGCTCCTCGGTCCCAAAGCCTTCAGGATCTAGGACCTGGCAGACACAGGGTCACGCTCCCAGCTGGTCCTTCCAGGGAGGCTGAGGAATCTCTGGTGGGCCCCAGAATACCCAGCTGTGGGACTTCACTGTTGCCACTGGTAGCTGAGTGACCTTGGGTGAGTCACAGCCGCGCTGAACCTTAGACCCCTCATCTGGGAAAGGAGTCTTAGACTTGTAACTAACAACGCGTTAGGCTGTTGTCAGGCTCCAGTGCCAGGCATGACCTTGGCATATGTGAGTTCTGGGCTTACTTTTAGCTACCGGGATTGTTTCTGTTTGAATGTGGGACAAAGCAAGGGCCCCAGAGGCCTTAGTCTTTCTCTCCCCGGCTCCCCTGGACATGTGTGCTACCTGTCCTGCCCTTGCGTGGCTGGGGTGACCTCAGCGGCCACTTCCACTTCTGACATTCTGTCTTCCTCCACATCTGAATAGCCCAGACTCCAGTGACCCAGCAACAGGTACAGTTTCTCTGTAGGGCAGGTAAGTCCCCAGCTGTGCCCTGCTGCAGTATCTGCTCATCTCCCTTGTCTGGGTCTCTCCCCGCCCCAACAGTGGCCTTTGTCCCAGAGGAGGACACGCACCGCAGCTCCAACTCCACCTACAGAGCCGTTGGCAGGGCCGACCAGGAGCCGCTGCTCGGGAAGCAGCTGACTCGCCTGCCGCCCAGCCTGCAAAGGCCGGAGGACCGCTGCCATGCCACATACGCCATCTTCTTCAGCCTGGGCATTGGCGGCCTGCTGCCATGGAACTTCTTTGTCACCGCCAAGGAGTACTGGGCATTCAAGCTGCGCAACTGCTCCGGCCCGGCCTCGAGGGGATACCCTGAGGACTCCGACATCCTGGTAAGGGCCGCGAATGCAGACGTGGAGCTGAAGCTGAACGTGTTCCCTGCAGTCCCGAGCCCCACTTTGTGTCAAGTGTGAGGCCCGATGCCACAGGTGGCGGGGGTCAGGTGTGGACACAGTCCCAGCCTCCACGCTGCTTACTCTGTAGCCAGGGAGGAGGAAGCTAGGGGTGGCCCTGTGTAGAGCAGTATGGTGAACTCAGGACTCCAGAGTCCAGGTTCCTAGGAGTTGGAAGCCGTGGATTCAGTAGCATTAAGCTCAGCGGGGAGTTACAGAAAAGTGTGAAGGAGGTATGGCTAAAACAAGATTGGAAGTCATGTTTCTCTCTGGAGTCTGGGGCTGGACAAGTAGCCTGCAATTTCTATGATGTTCTCCAGGGTCAGGAACATAGTTGCTTCACCATGTGTAGCTCTCACGTCCAAGGTCACCTCATAGTCTAAGATGGTTGTAGGAGCTCTGGCAATTACATCAGGAGAAAGAAGGAAGAGGAGGAAGTGCCTGTAGTTTCGAAGAATTCCTCCTAGACAGAACACATTGTTTCTGTTTACAGTGCGGTGCTCAGAACTCCCTAGCTGCATCAGAGGCTGAGAAGTGTAACCTTTAAGTAATCTTATCCCAGGGGACCACAGTGCCTGCATCCCTTTTCTGTGGCCACTAACACACCACCACAGTCTGGGTGACCTGTGACGAGAGGAGGCTTCTTTTGGCTCATGGTTCTGGAGGTGCCAGGTCCGAGGTTGCACCTGGTGATGGCCTTGCCGCAGTCCCAAGGAGGCACAGGGGCATGTGTGTGTGTGATCCTGCTCTTACGGAGCCACTGGGATTCGATCCTGGGGCTCCACCCTAATCGCACCATCTAGTTCTAGTCTCCCCTCTTGATGCCACCTCAGATTCAGCTTGACCCCTCAAGGCAGGGATTACATTTCAGCAAAGGAAGCCTTAGGGACACTCAGCATCTCCATGAACTACGTCTTTTTTTGGGTACTGGGAACTGAACTCAGGACCTGGCACTTGCGGGTCAGGCGCTGTGCCGCTGAGCTGTATCCCGGGCCCTAGCATCTCCAAACCTAGCACAGGGAAAGTGAAGCCTTGGGGACAAGTAGTCTGGCCCCAAGGGAGGGGTCCCTGTGACGCGAATTGAGTGGGGGCACTTTCCGGGGAGCAGGGCCAGCTATAGCGCAGCTGTGTACTGGTGGGGAGGTGGTCACAGCACTGCATGCAGAGTCACCGCCCAGACCTCACACGTCCAGCAGAGAAGTCTGGACTGTGTTTGGTTGCATGGCACTGAGCCCCCTCTCTACCTCCCCACAGCTGCCCGCTTTGCCAGTGACTTTTCCCAGGGGGCGCGGGGGACGGGGGAGGGGGTGTTAAGATTATTCAGACACTTGTTAGAACTGCAAGCACTTTAAGGTGGCTGCAGCAGGGGTGAGATGGAGCTCAACTCTGCAAAGGGTGGTGGGGTATTTAGCCCGGGCAGGATGGAGAATTGGTTCTTTTCTTTCTTTTCTTTTGTGGGTAGCAGGAATTGAACCCAGGTCCTTGCACTAAGCTCCATCCCCAGCCCTTTGTATTTTTCATTTTGAGCGAGAGTCGAAGTTGCCCAGGGTAGGCTTGAATTTGTGATGTTCCTGCCTCCGCCTCCCAGAATGCTGGGATTGTAGGTGTGTGCCGCAACATCCAGATTATAATTGATATTTTCTAAGACTTCTGCTCCCCACATTCTACCCCTCTACCGTCTGACACCCTGGATGGCCTCTGCCATCGTGGGAACTAACAGATGCCCTCAGAGTCCAGAGCAGGGGTTGGACTTATTTGTGGGGCGAAGACGTTCCTAGGGATGGAGCGCAGTGGGGAGAGCCCTGCTACTCTAGAGTGGTCCGTGTGGTCCTTGGAACTCATTCGTGATGCAGTCCCAGCGCCACCCAGCCCCGAGTCCGGACGCGCAGGACTGATGGGCCGGTGGACTTGGAGAAGCACAGCTTGGCAGAACCTCCGGGCCCAGATCCTGCCTGTCTGAGCACTGGGCTCTGTGGCCTCTGTGTGGTCGTGCTTTCCTGGTTGTAAGAGGACGCCGTCGCTGCCACCTCCTCCTCAGGGTTGTTTTGATGATGGAGTCCGTGCCCATGTGTCACAAACTGCTGCATAAACATTTCCTTTTGTTTTGTGAGGCAGGGTCTCACTATGTAGTTCAGGCTGCCGTTGACCATGTTGGCCTCAAACTCACAGCAATCCTTCTGCCTCAGCCTCCCAGGGGCTGGAATTACAGGTGTGTGCCACCGTGCCCGGCTTTCTATAAACATGATTATGGCTGTGATTGTTCAGGGCTCTGCCCATAGTCTCCACTGCTATAGCCCACGCATATTTCCAGAGGCGCCCCCCTCACTGGCCTACTTTACCACCTCCTTTTATTTATTGGTGACTCAAGCGTCCCAGCTGTGGGCTGCCCACGGGGCTTCCTACAGAAGGTCGCTGCTTATCTGACCTGCCAGCACCAAGCTAGCCCGTGTGTGCACCTGTCCTGGCCGGTTCCGTCAGCTGCCCCTGCCCCTGGGCACAGGCTGTGCAGGAGGATGAGCCAACCAGCGTGGCCGGTGTGGTCCTGGAGCTGTCCTCATTGCCAGGGAGCTTGCGCGGCCGTCCTCCCAGCTGCACGCACTTAGCATTCCCGGCCCTGCCACGATGCTTTATTGCCTCTTCCCAAGTGCTGGCAGGTGCGGATGTAGTACCTGCGGCTGCCCGGAGCTCCTGGCTCTTGGCATCGGAGATGAGAGACCTGTCACCCCTCGATTCATGGGCCGGCTCCAGGAAGCGAGCATGCTGGGCGTTGTGTATTTTGCAAACCATTTTTCTTTGCCTCATTCCTCACGCCTGCCACCCACCTCCCCAGTGCTTCCCCCTCGTCCAGATTTCCCTGCATGCTGCACTGGCCGGCCCTGCGTCCTGAGGGCCACTATGGAGGAAGGAGCAGGAGAGTCAAATGGGGCTGTCTCCTGCTGCCACCTGCAGCTCCATTAGCCGAGGGGCGACATGATTCCGTACTTCCTTTTAATAGTTTGCTAAGGTGGAAACCATTTGTTGGAGAACCTGATCCAGCAGGAATGTTTGAACAGGATCACCCCCCATGCACACTCACACACATTCCAAATTATGTCATTTCCAAGGTCACCTCCCACCCCGGCTCATTTCCTTCTGCCTAGAACAGATTCGGCGATGGTTTGGAAAGCACCCTCTTACTGGGCTCTCTCATCTCTGTTTTCTGGAATAAGAACCTCAGATAAATCCACCACAGACTATTGGCCCAAGACCAAAAAATTTAGAGCATAAACGAACAAGTGATGCCTTACAGGGAGCTGCAAAGCCCGGCAAGCTACAGCAGGCCAAGTGTAGAGAGCAAAGTGCAGGCAGCTGCGTTTCCTGGGCCCAGCATGGTGGCAGGGGTGTAACATCAGTGTCCTTTCCCTAATCCTGAAAGCAGGAATTCCTGAAGACAAAAAGCCAGAAGCTCAGGGAGGTTCAGTAACCTGCCCCAAATCACACTGTCAGGAAGTTCTACAGAGAAGTTCTTGGAGAATATAAGTACATAGATGGTGGCATAAGTGGTCGCCCTCGGAGGGCAGTGTGGAGGGGACTGCCCTGGGGACGGGGCCAGTCCACATCCTGACTAATAGTCTTCTGTAGAGAGCATGTCCTGGGTCTGGCCTGCTCTTCCAGTTTGCAACTCCAGGTGCCTGATCTTGGGCTCTTGGCGCCAGACTGACAGTGTCCTTCGTCCGTGCCTCCTCCTTCACGGACCGTACCCGCCCCCAGTACCTCCTGCAGGTTGCATCTGCTGCCCTGGGCCAAGACAGCACAGGTAGCCATTCCCTGCCACCAGGCCCCCCAGGTCTGTTTCTGTGTGTTGGAGCCTGTGGGGCTCCTCGCCAGCTCCCTGGGGCCCTGTGTGTGTCTCGGCACGCAGCCACGGTGCGGCGCTCTGACCGGGCAGCCGTTGCTTTCTGGCCTTGGCCTGCTGCAGCTCACGGGGCCTTGCAGCTCCCTGTGAGGCAGCAGCTTCAGATCCCAGGTGGCCCAGGGGTGCCTTCCCTGTTAGCTCTCGGGAGACAGCACACAGCTCTCTCACTGAACATCCCTGTGCCCCCGCACACCGGCCACAGTGCCCGGCACACACACGTATCTGTAGCTGTTTGTCCCAGGCTGTGGGGGAAGGCCCCATTACTCCAGTCTGAGATAGTGATGGCCAGGCTCCATACAGAGCTGAAGATCCGGGGGTCACAGTGGCCTCTGCCAAAGCAGCCCTGATCTTCAGGGGGGCTGGCATGGACATGAAGTGTGGGGTTCTGGCCATTGGGAAGGATGTGGCGTTGGCCTGACCCAGCAGATGGAGAGACCTAGGGTGGTTCTTCCCCTTTTTTACAGCCCCTGGTTCTGGCTCAGTCCCCCAGCCCCTGGAAGAGGCAGCTAGCACATCTGTCTTTGTGATGAGGGGTGGGCACTCCAGTCCAGAGAGGAAGGACTAAAAGTAGCCAGAATGAACTAGTGTGGGGAAGAGGAAGCTGAAGAGGGGTCATCAGAGGTCTTGGCAGTGATCTGCTGACGTTCCCACGTCCCTGCTACACACAGCCCGTGCCCACCCACCACTCTTCCTTCACTGGCATGTGGTCTGGTCAGTTGGTATTGCTTCCCCAATATCCAGGTGGGGAGACTGAAGCACACCCACGGTCCTTTGGGTTTATTCTGCCACACTGGGTGCCCGAGGCTTTGCTTTCAGGTCTCTCTTGGTGCTTGCTGCAGCCCTGAGTCATCGCTATCTTATGCCCATTTTACAGAGCATAGAACTAAGGCCAGACAAGGGAAAGTCATTTGCTCCTAGGTACCAAGTAAGTGACATCTGGAACACAGACCAAGGCTTTCTGAACCTATGTCGTCCACCCTTTCTACTCCTGAGGTCTATGTCTGCATTTTTAATTTTTTAATTTTTATTTTTTTTGGGGGGTGGA